TTTTAAAAAGTATTCTGGAGGGGTGGTTCACAAAGGCCCGGGGGTAAACGTTCCCGCGGCCCCAAACCCCTTGACCAGTTCAGGTAAAATGCAGCCTTTATGATCTCACGCAATCGATGAACTTTAAACCTAACATATCTATATATCCCCATAACTTCCTCCCACCTTTTCATCTCTCTGCATCTTTTGGCATTTCAAGCGTTTTCTTTATCTCCCTAGCTTCTTATCTCCTATTATTCCCAATATCTTCTTGTCTTCCATCATTTTATTCCTAATATCTGCTTGTCCCATAACATTTTATTCCCTGTATGTTCTTCCATTATTTCCATCTTCCGCTAGTTGCCATCTTTTTAATCATTTCCTTTATGTCTGCTTATGCAGACACTTCATGTAGCTCTCCTGGCGTGACTCTTACCTGAAGGTGGGTCCAAGGATGGAGCCAGGTGCCTGCCTCTCTGAGATGCCAGCCACGAAGGGGTCGATGTCATCCACTGAGGAGTAGAGTCGACTGAGCGCCTTCATCGTCTGCCACGAAATAGCAATTACAACCTAGTGGATTCTGTAGTCGATGTAGAGTGAAAGGGTGTGATAACCCCTTACAGTTGTGACCAGGTTTGGACGTGTGAATGGTTCATAACCTTTGTAACTTGTTCATCTATCAAACCTTTGTGGCCCAGTCCCTGGACCCATTGTGCACCTCTGTAATCATTTGACTACCGCAACACCCTCTCCCCTTCCTCCTACATCAGTGCCCGTCACTCCAGGCGCATATAGATACCGACATATTATCGACCCTTAGTGATATTAATGAAAGTGAATTATTATTATTATAATCAAAAAGAAGCGCTAAGCCACAAGGGCTATACAGCGCTGCAGGGTAGGGAAGGAAGCGAGGGTATTGGGCGGTAGAAGGGGGTAGGGATGATCAGTTGGTTACAGAAAACAGCGGGGCAGCTGATAGTGCGCGGGTAGAGGGCAGCAAGAGATTGAGGTAGAAAGGGCTGAAGGTATCATCAGAGTTTGTGAAGTAAGTCAGTTGTTGTCAAAAAGTCAATGAGAGAGTCCGGATGAAAGGTGGGTCCATCAGGGAAGGGAAGGTAAAGAGACAGCAGCGGAGCGAAGACGACGTAGGCGGTATATTCTGCGTGCTCGTTGATAAAGTGGGCAGTCTAATAGAATGTGGCTAACCGAAAATGAAACCTGACAATTCTCACAGAGAGGAGCAGGGCACCTCTCCATGAGATACCATGAGTATCTATTAAACCTATACTCGGTTTAATAGATTGAAGTTTGTTACCGAGCAGAGTAGACCAACGTTGTTGCCAACGGGTGTGAAGGTGGGTAGCTATTGCAGCAAAATAGTCCGTAAATGGAACACCTCTATATGAAACTGGTAGGTCATGTACTGCTGACCGCACAGCAGTGTCTGCCTGTTCATTGCCCTGTACGTCAACATGACCAGGGACCCAACAAAAAACAATATCTTTATGTTTGGAAGAGATGCGGTGTAGCCAAAGTTGGATATGGAGGACTAAGGGGTGAGGTGTATCAAATTTCTGTATAGCCTGTAAAGCACTAAGGGAGTCTGAGACAACCACAAATGATGACATAGGCATAGATGCAATATGGATAAGTGCTGCAAGAATGGCATACAATTCAGCAGTAAAGATACTAGCCGAAGACAGTAAATGCCCTCGTACGATGTTGTCCGGAAACATTGCTGCAAATCCTACACCGTCAGAAGACTTAGAGCCATCTGTGTACACTGCAATGGCATGAGAATGAGAGAGGAAGTGGTCAAGAAAAAGAGAGCAGGAAGCTACCGCAGACAGTTGGGCTTTCGAGCAAGGGAGTGAGAAAGAACAGACTTGAACAGCTGGAACTTCCCAGGGAAGTAGGGAAAAGTGAGATGCTACATGAACATAGAGAGGTGGTAACTGAAGAGAAGACAAGAGCGAATGTAGGTGAAGGGAGAAGGGACGGAGCAAACAGGGGCGGTAAACAAATAAAGAATGCCTACTAATATCGGTGACCATTCTACAAATGGAAGGACTGCAGAGATCATGAGAGCGTACATAGTAGCGAAGGCAATGGGCATCACGGCGATCGGATAAGGATGGAACGTTCGCTTCTGCATAGATGCTCTCAACAGGGGAAGAGCTAAACTCACCAAGGCATAAACGTAATCCTTGGTGATGAATGGGATTAAGACTAGAGAGAGTAGCAGGAGAGGCCGCTGAATAGATCTGGTCACCATAATCAAGTTTCGATAAAACGAGGGCGGAATGTAGGCGAAGGAGAGTTCGACGATCAGCTCCCCATGAAAGATGAGCAAGGGTTTTAAGAAGGTTCAGCCAGCTGTGACAAGTTACCTTCAGAGAGGTAATGTGAGGTTTCCAGGATAACCTATGGTCAAAGAGGAGGCCTAGAAACCTGACTGTATCACGTTCAGGGATATGGGAGCCATAGAGGTACAAAGGATGATTGGAGCGTCTAGTGAAAGTAATTTGGTGAGTTTTGGTACTGGAAAAGTTAAACCCATGTGTGGTGGCCCACTCACTCAAGGACTCCTTTACTGTCGTCTGCACCGACGACAATGAAGCAGCTAAACTTATGGACGACACTGCAATGAATACATTACGAGACCGACAATTCATCACATCACCGTCTCCCTCCTTGCTGGCGAAACGTTCAGTTTTTGTTAAACAATTGGATAAAATAATCACATCCATACCAACGGATGAACTGAAGACCTCTATCGAAGACCAAAACACCTGGGCCTCTGTAGACACCATCACACGAATTCCCAATGCCTCATCTATGATCAAAATCACCTTTTCAAACATAGATATGGGTACCCAAGCGCTCTCTAATGGACTAGCTATCTCATATTACCACATACATCCACGCCACATTGAACCTGAACGTTTTGTCCATGTCTCTCCCTGTTGGAACTGTTACTCTTATCAACATTCAACCAAGGACTGCCCCATTTAAAGACAAAATGTTCTGTTCTACCTGTGGAAAAGAAGGTCAGGGTACTCATCATACCCTTGCAGCTAAATGCCCACTACGAAAAGAAGTAATGTCGAAAAAAAATTAAAGAAACCAAGAAGAACAGTCCCAAATCGCCGACATATGCCGCCATTTCAAAACTTCAGTCGGACATCACCAGAATTCTACAAGCCACACAGTAGTCATCTCTATCCAGCAATTCCCTCTCTGCACTCCCTGGCGCTGCTCCTTCTAAGGTGTTGTACTGAATGATGTATGCACACCTTGCAAATGCAGCAAACCCAGGCACATTCAACACTACAATTAACGAACTATTCCGTCTTAACAACATGCCGTCATTCAACTTTCCTGATTCGCCAACATCACAGGACTTCCTCAAGATTATCCCAAACATCGCTAACTTCACATCAACTTCAGGCCCAAATCCTGACTCTGCCCCAAAAAACACTCCTGAACCACCCCCAGTGACCACTACCACCTCTCAACAACCACCAACAGCCAGCCAGACCGCAAATACTCTAGACTCCCAGTCTCCTCTTGACACAATCACAGTAGAAACAATTGAACAAGAATTTTCTGACGAATCCCCCGACGAAGCAGATAGCGACGACTCCAGCACACCCTCTTAGGAAAACCTTACTTTCTACACCTCTCCCTCGAACGCTGACACCATGACCTGCTCTGAACTCTACAAAGGCCTCTGTGATGGAACAGTCAAGTATGCCTGCGAATCACCTCTTCACTTCACACTCACGCAAGTTCTTGAGTTCATCAAGCCTCTTCGTTTCACTTTTTCTAACAAGACAACGCTATACCACCTCTCCAGGAGCAGCTTCAAGAAGTTTGCAAATGGCTCCACTGCAAACCTGCCTCCTCAACTAATAAAATAACCTCCCACATGTCTGCTGCCCTCTGATGGTCCTACCTGCCTGCCCTCTCCTGCAACCTGGAAACTTCCAGCTCTCGAGACTCAAAGACCTCACCTACCACGAGACTATTGCATACACAGCTTGCTCTCTTCCCGTTTTTTCTCCAAGTCTGTCCCACGATCGCCTTAGCTGCTGGGTCAAGCCCTGGCTCTATTTCTACGACTAAGAACACTCCTCTCCAGCGCTATTCTTCGTCTGTCCCGTCTTCCCCGCTCATTCCATTGGGATCTTACCTGCACTTGTTCGTTCGTTCGTTCGCCCAATTGGAAACACGGTCGACTGCATGTTGGAGGGAAACTGTAATGAGGTGATAGCGCCTGCAAATGCAATAGCGAAGTCATCAACATAGAGTGATGACCAAATATTGGATGGAGGACTAGAGGCCAAATCATTTATAGCAAGGAGAAAAAGTGTTGTGCTTAGAACGCATCCCTGGGGAACACCTTCAGCTTGGATAAAGTCCGGGGAGAGCACATTATTAACCCGAACATGGAAATGTCAATTAAAAAGTTCTTAAGGAAGGATGGTAGATTGCCTCGAAGGCCTAAGGAGTGGGCTTGGGCCAAAATATTATACCTCCAAGTTGTGTCATATGCCTTCTCAAGGTCAAAAAATATGGCAATAACTGAGTGGTTATTCGCAAAGGCATTACAAACATACGTATCCAAGCGTAGTAAGGGGTCTATGGTAGAACAGCCCTTACGAAAGCCATATTGACGAGTGGAGAGACTGTTGTGTGTCTCTAAATACCACATTAAACATCTATTTACCAGGCATTCCATCACTTTACAAACTGCACTGGTAAGAGCAATGGGACGATAGTGGGAGGCTTCATGTCCCGTAGTACCCGGTTTGCAGAAAGGGAGAACAATGGCAGATTTCCACAGCTGTGGAAGAACTCCCTGTGACCAAATAAGATTGAAAAGGCGTAATAGGACTGCAAGGGCTGACTGATGTAAATGTTGTAACATACGAATATGAATGTCGTCGGGCCCAGCTGCCGATGATCGGCAAGCTGAGAGTGTTGCCTCCAGTTCCTGAAGTGTAAAAGGCACATTATACTGTTTTCTCTGAGAGAAGAAAAGTCCAAGGGTGCTAATTCTCTGGCAGACTTTGAGGAAAGAAACGAGGGGCAAAGATGGAGCCCCTGAGAAATACGGACCAGATGATTGCCAATTTCATTGGCAACATCTAGTGGGTTTGCTACATCAACGCCGGCAACTCGCAGAACAGGAGCCAGGCCAGGAGAATATTTACCACTCAGTTTTCGTACTTTTTTCCAGACTGCACTCATAGAGGAAGCAGAGGTGATGGTGGAGATATAATCTCGCCAGCAAGTGCGTTTAGCATCACGGATGACACGGCGAGCAATCTCACGCTTCTACTTAAAATCAAGAAGTCTCTCCGTGGTTCTTTTGCACCGGTACCTGCCCCACGCAGTGCGTTTCAAACATACTGCACGAGCACAAGCAGGAGACCACTTCGGGCACGCATTTCTGAGAATGCCTGCCCGAAGTTTGTGGTATAGAATGAGAAGCTGTGGTTAAAACGGAGGACGAGAAGAGGTGTAAAAGCTCATCAATGGAGGACGAAGAAGGAACCTCACTAAAAACAGTTAGTTGTGAGTAAAGGTTCCAATTTGTCTGATCAAATTGCCAGCGTGGGTTACGAAGAGGTGGTGAATGTGAAGGGGAAGTAAGAATGATTGAGAAATGATCGCTGTCATGTAAATCCGGGAGAACAAACCAGGTGAAGTCTAATGCGGTGGAGGAAGAGCAGACTGAGAGATCGATGCAAGAGAGAGTATGAGTCCGAGGATCAAAATGGGTGTGAGTACCTGTATTTAAAACATGGAGGGGGTGGGTAGCAAGAAAAGCCTCTAACTGAATGCCACGGGAATCACAGTGAGACCCACCAGAGGAAATGATGGGCATTAAAATCGCCAAGTAACAGAAGTGGTGGCGGTAATGACGAAACAAGAAAGGCAATATCTGGGATAGATAATGCCCGAGAAGGAGAGAGATACAAAGAACAGAGTATATACCACCTATGCAAGTGGATACGGGCTGCTGTGTAATGCAGCGAAGTACGAACAAATAGGATGGTACAGAATATCAGTGCGTAGAAGAAGGGCACTTTCATAAAAGGTCCCATCAGGAAAAGGATCTGGAGAATACAATAAATTATAGCCTGAGATAGGATAGATAACGGCAGAGTGTAATTTTGGTTCCTGTAAGCAAACACCAACAGGGGAAAACTGGAGAGCAACATCTGAAGCTCACCCCGATTACCCCTGAGGCCACGAATATTCCACTGTAAATAGGCCATGGTTGGCAACGATAAAGATACCTGAAATCCACAGATAAAGGTACCTATGGACTAGAGGGGTTAGAAAAGTCCACATGCGGTGGCAAAGGAAAACGTTCAAGTAGCGAAGGAACGGTGCATTCTGAAGAAAGGAGTTGTGCAAATGAAGAGGAAAGAGGAGGAACAGAGGGTGGATCAGTGTCCATTGATGGTTTGGTCTCTGCAATATATTCAGAGATTGCTTCAAGTGTTTCAGAGTTCAGAGACGTCGTATGGGAGACAATATTGGAGATGGAAGGAGGAGGAGTTTGAGTAAAGATCGGAGCTATAATGGACTGCACCAAGGTAGGGGGGGGGCGAAAGGGTGAAGGGAACTGGAGAAGTGTGGGAGGGGACAGAAGAGGAAGAAACCTGGGAGGTGACAGAAGAGGAAGAAACTTGGGAGGGGACTGCGGAGGAAGCCACAGTACGAAGAGGAGGATGAACCTCCACACTTGTAACAGAGCCAGTGAAAGGGGAAGACTCAGGTACAGAGACCAGGAAGGTAAAATGTGGAGGTGGATGAAGGGAAGGAGGGGTTAAAGGAGATTTTTTGGGTCTCTGAGAAGTAGAGGGACGATTGGGAGGTGTTGTACGAGGTCTTTTCGATACCAGGGTTTGCGAGGGAGGACACGAAGAAGTGAGGACAGACTGAGGAGTTGAAGTAGGCACGTCTGAGCCCAGAACAGCAAAAGAATTAGATACAGGAGTGACTATGGGACTGGCAACCACAGAGCAGGCTGCAGAAGATGTGACCCCAGAAGTGGGGGGACACTTTGAAACACAAGAATATGAAACATGGGGCAGCCTCCCTTTGAGGCGGAGATGAGAAACTGCCATAGCATAAGGGAGACCTTCTGCCTCTTTGAGGCAACGCATTTCCTGCTCATTTAAGTAGACTTGGCAATGGCGAGAGTACGAAGGGTGAGCTTCATGACAATTAAGGCAAGAGGGAGTTCGACTGCAAGATGTATTAGAATGATCATCGGCACCACAGACTGGGCATTCAGCTATAGATCTGCAATATTTTGCTGGGTGGCCAAATCGCCAGCAATTCCTACACTGTTGTGGTGTAAGGATCACCTTCCGAACTTGTAACCGATGTCCTGCTACATAAACAGAGGATGGGAGTTCACGGCTGTCAAAAGTTAAATGAGCCACATTGCAAGGGTATCGTCTTCGCCCACAGGCAGGAAGAACATAAGTGTCTACCTTGAGAATTGGGAGATCTTGGAGTTCCAGCTGTTCGAGAATGTCAGTGCCACATGTCTGGAAATTCTGTTGGACTATGGTATGGGGCAGAATAACAGTATCACAACAAGAATTGAGGGAATGATGTTTTTCAATAGTGATAGGAATAGTATCGATATGTGAAAGAGAAAGATCATGAGCTTGGGTAGAATTCTGGACTGTGATGATGCACGTACCACTCTTAAGAGCATGAAAGGAAATATCTCTACCAATGTGGCATAGGTGTGCTTTGCCAACACTATGGTCGGAAAGATAGGCAGTAGAAGAAGTTGGTCTTAATGTAAAGAATTTAGTCCATTGTGTGGTCTGAAACTGAGTGTGGAGAGGGAGTGCATGACGTGTCGGTCTTTTCCGAGTAGAGAGAGAAGGTAACGAAGTAACATCATTAGGAGATTGTCGTTGACGTTTAGAAGTGGGACCAGAGTCAGTCCGACGTGGGATGGGCTGGCGATTCGAAAATCGCCGCACTGTAGAGAGAGAAGCCGGAAGCATAGTCAAAGGAGAGCAGAGGTCAGACAAATTGAAGGAGTCAGTGGAAGCCCCGGTACCTGAAGCAGGTGAGGAAACAGCACCAGCAAGAGGTGCAGGGGCCTTAGGAATGTCCGAAGAGTGGCCAAAAGATGAGGCGAGGTCAGAACGGGGTGCGGTAACAATAAGGGGCCTGGGGGGTAGCGGGGTCATGGATCGTGTACTCCATGGTTAGGTTACTTCTTTTTGTTTTTAAGAAAACAAAAGAAAGAAGAAAAGAAAATAAAAATAAAAAAAAGGATAAAAAAAGGGGGGACCGGGGAGGGATAGTTCCTAGGAGGAATGAAAGGGCCAGAAATCTCCCTCTGTGCCCAAGAGGACCTCAGCACCGCAAGTAGCGCAGATGCATCATGGAACCCATGCCATACCCTACCCATCATGCCAGTAAACCAGCAATCCGGGATAGCAACCTCACATCTGCCGAGCTACCTCGGTGGACAAAAAAGAGGGCGGCTGGATATCCGCCACAAAGCATACCTCCTTCGGCCACCACCCCCGGAATCCGAAAGGCGGCTTCCAGAGATACACCCGTCGCCTGAAAGACACCCAAAGCCACCCTCTGGGATACTGGAGGGGGATCAGGACATCCCCAGGCAATCCAGATTCCACAGCAAACTACGCCACCGCCAAGAACCTCAACAGAATGGGATGGACCCTGGTACCCTTTCCCCTACCTAGGAACTAGCATGCCTGTGGGAAAAAATCCCAAAGGCCAAAAAGGAAGGGCAAAAGGGAGGGGTGGGGAGGAGGAGGAGGAAAGGAAAAAGGGGACGATGGGGAGGATGGGAGAGGGGAGGAGGGATTGGGGGGTAATTAGGTTCGGTCTGAGGAAGGAGACCGACAGGTCTAATTCCTCAGACCAAGAGCCTCTTCACCACTCCAATGAGCCCCCCATGAAGAGGAATGAAAGTGAATCAATGCAGAAATAATTGTATCAAATAAAACAAATCATGAATATTTTCACAGTACAAGAAATCATCATTGTCCATGCCTGCCCCATCCCACGATATCAGAAACACTACCCGAGCATGTGTAGAGGCCTTCAGGAGGACATTGAACTCGTGCCTCGGCCAATTGCCACATCATTCAGGTTGTGATGAATATGTGGATCAGCTGCTCCCCTCTTACAGGAGGCACTACAAAATTGTGTTCACTTTCCCCAGTACCGTATTGGCTTCGGTTTCTTAACTTTACAAAATTCACAGCAAGATATTCTGGACATTAGTTACCAGCCATTTTGGGAACATCGTTGAGTCTCAGCCGTTTTGATCTGTCTACCATATTTAAGCATTTTCAGTCTTACCCTTGAAGGAAAAACATCAAGCAGGTCTTCAAATTTGCGTGCCCTAGGAAGTCCACATCTTTCTCTTAGTTCGTTGTAAGGAGCTATGCCATGGTCCCTGCCTCTCTGGGTGTTAAGGGCCACCAAGTCCATCCCTGCTGGCATCTGCCTAGACTGTAACGTGGGGTGTAAATGTATATATATATACGTATATATATACGTATATATATAATATATATATATATATATATATATATATATATATATATATATATATATATATATAATATATATATATATATATATATATATATATATATAATATATATATTTATATATATGTCGTGCCGAATATGTAAAACTGGTCAATTAGTAAGAACTCATTTAAAATTAAGTCCTTTCTGAAACTTTCTCTTATACGTTTAAAGATATATTTTTGTCATTGATGTTAATGTAAAAAATTTTAATTTTGCACCAAAAGAATCTTAGAAAACTTACCTAACCTTATTATAACAAGAGCAATTTATTTTAGCCTAACCCAACTAAATATATTTTAGATTTGTTTACAGTAATTTAATACTAAACAAACAGTGAAATTTATTTTTTTCGTTAGGTTCAGAATGATTTTGGCGAAATTATTGCATACACAAATTTTCACTTGTCTTATATGGCAAGATGAGCGTTGCTATTTAAGCCAAGATTGCAAGTTCTGCCTATTCGGCACGACATTATATATATATATATATATATATATATATATATATATATATATATATATATATATATATATATATATATATATATATATATATATATATGCACACATATACACGTGTTGTGCTGAATAGGTAAAACGCGATTTTGTCTTAAATAGCAATGCTCTTCTTGCCGAATAAGGTTAGCGAAAAATTATGTATGCAATAATTTCGCAAAAATCTTTCTGAACCTGACGAAAAAAATATATTTCATTGTGTTTATTGTTAAATTATTGTAAAATTATCTAAAATATATTTAGTTGTTTTAGGCTAAATTAAATTGCGCTTGTTATATTAAGGTTATGTAAGTTTTCTAAGGTTCTTTTGGTACAAAATTATTAATTTTTACATTGACATAGATGAGAAAATATATTTTTAAACGTTTAAGAGAGAATTTTAGAAAGGACTTAATTTTAAATGAGTTCCTGCTAATTGACCAGTTTTACCTTTATTATATATATATATATATATATATATATATATATATATATATATATATATATATATATATATAATTATTATATATATATATGCAAAAAGTTCACAGTAAATATATGATATCAAAATACGTAAAATAACCACAATGAAAAAATAGTGGAATTCCAAGGGAGATTATACCTTGAAAAGTGTGTGTGAAAGAGAGAGAGACTTTAATACAATAAGAGGCAATAATTCACCCCAAAGAGTCTGTTAGTGAGTTCGGAGGTGACATATCTGTCAGACATCTGGGCGGGTTGTGTTGCGAGGCCTCGGAGGAGCTCATCCAGCCTTCCCGGCGTGTACAGCTGCCGCGGGTTGTTGAAGTTCTCGTGTAACGGCAACCTGTCTATTGGCCAGCTCTTCACGTCCACCAACCTACAGAGAACATTCACGTGTACATTAATCTAATTCCTCACCTTAAAATTTACCCTTAACATTATATAATCACCTTAACAGCACCGCCACGTTTACACCTTACCTCATTAACACTTACTGCATTTTCACCTTAACTTCCACCTCCTTCTTGCATTTCACATAAAATTATTAAGTAATTAATTCACTAATTAATGACTTCACTAATTACATCCGGTTTGATCAAGGACCAATGGGTAACTATATATAAAATTAAAATTACTTGGATGAATCTCATTAGATACATACTAGTAATTTTATAAAAGTAACAAAGATAATTAATCTTCATCAAGGTTATAGAGTCATGTAGGAATTTTAGGACATCCTAGATCGCAAAAAATGTCCTCCTTCGATACCTACTCAACTCATATCTCCACAAGTCACTCTGGACCTATATTAATTTCAAATGAAATATACATCACCAGGAATTCTGGTACAACATTAATATAAATATGTGGACTGTATGTTAAATTTAATAAATGGCTACATATACGTTGAAGGAGAATTTATAATAATAACACTCACCAATTTGTCTGGAGATTACTTGGTGTGTCATACACAAACCCATGCCTAAAATACGAAGAAAATACTGGCCAGAATTTCAACATAGACATCACCTGGGTTAATTTATCTTATTCCCATCTAATTACGGAGTCCTGTCCAGTCGTCTAATTCTCACGTTCTGCGACTGGCAAATCCAACCAGATTTCAGTTCCTATTTGAAAGGTTTTAAACACGTAAGTGTTGTGTGCTCCTCCCACTGTAAGTGTGAGTGCCACGCCACTTGGTAATTGTGGCCTCCCCACTATTAATTGCTGTTGGTGCCCCGCCATTTGTAAGTGTTGTGTGCCCCCGGCACTTGTAAGAGTTGGTGTGCCCCGCCATTTGTAAGTGTAGTGTTGGCCCCGGCAACTTGTTAAGTGTTGTGTGGCCCCGAACACTTGTAGTTTTGTGTGCCCTGCCACTTGTAAGAGTCGTGTGCCGCCGCCACTTGAAAGTGTTGTGTGCCCCGCCACTTGTAAGTGTTGTTGTGCTCTCTGCCATTTGTAAGTGTAGTGGTGCCTCGCCACTTGTAAGTGTTGTGTGTGTCCCGCCACTTTTGAGTGTTGTGTGCCCCGCCCACTTGGAAGTGTTTGTTTGCCCCGCCATTTGTATTGTTGTTGCCACGCCACTTGTAAGTGTTGTGTGCCACTCGCCACTTGGTAAGGTTAGGACCCCGCCACTTTAATGTTGTGTGCCCCGCCACTTGTAACTGTTTGTGCCTCGCCACTTTAAGTGTTAGTTTGTGCCCCGCCACTGCAAGTGTTTGTGTCCCCGCCCACTTGTAAGTGTTGTGTGCCCGACACTTGTAAGTGTTGTGTGCCCCGACACTTGTAAGTGTTGTGTGGCCTCCGCCACTTCTAAGTGTTGTGTGCCCTGCCACTTGTAAGTGTTTGTTGCCCCCCAGTTGTAAGTGTTGTGTGTCGCCGCCAACTTGTAAGTGTTGTGTGTGCCCCGCCACTTGTAAGTGTTGTGTGCCCCGCCACTTGTTAAGCTGGTTGTGTGTACCCAGCACTTGTAAGTGTTGTGTGCCCCGCTACTTGTAAGTGGTTTGTGCCCCCCACTGTAAGTGTTGTGTGCCCCGCCAGTTGTAATGTTGTGTGTCCCGCCACTTGTAAGTGTTGCGTGTGCTGCCGCAACTTGTAAGTGTTGTGTGGCCCCGCACTTGTAATTGTTTGTGTGTGCCCCGCCACTTGTAAGTGTTGTGTGCCCCCCACTTGTAAGTGTTGTGGTGCAACGCCACTTGTAAGTGTTGTTGCCGCGCCAGTTTGTAAGTGTGTGTGTCCCGCCCTTGTAAGTGTTGTGTTTGGCCCCACCACTTGTAAGTGTTGTGTGCCCCGCCACTTGTAAGTGTTGCGTGTGCCCCATCACTTGTAAGTGTTGTGTGCCCCGCAACTTGTAAGTGTTGTGTGTGCCCCGCCACTTGTAAGTATTGTGTACCACACCACTTTGTATGTGATGTGTGCCCCGCCACTTGTAAGTGTTGTGTGCCCCGCCACTTGTAAGTGTTGTGTGTGCCTCACCCACTGTAAGTGTTTGTGTATCCCCGCCACTTGTAAGTTTGTGTATCCCGCCACTTGTAAGTGTTGTGTGCCCCACCACTTTGTAAGGGTTGTGTGCCCCACCGATCTTGTAAGAGTTGTTTACCCCGCCACTTGTAGTGTTGTGGTGCCCCCCGCCACTTGTAAGTGTTGTGTGTGCCCCCCGCCACTTGTAAGGTTTGTGCCCCCGCCACTTGTAAGTGTTGAGATATCCCCGCCACTTGTAAGTGTTGTGTGCCAAGCCACTTGTAAGAGTTGTGTGTGCCCCGCCACTTGTAAGTGTTGTGTGCCCCTCGCCACTTGTAAGTGTTGTGTGCCCGCCACTTGTAAGTGTTTTGTGTGAGCCCCCCGCCACTTTGTAAGTGTTATGTGCCCCGCCCTTTGTAAGTGTTGTGTTACTATGGCGCCCGACCTTGATACATAGTGTTGATGTGCCTCGCCACTTGTAAGTGATTGGTGTGCCCCGCTAATTGAAAGTGTTGTGTGCTCCCGCCACTTGAGTAAGTTTGTGTGCCCCCGCCACTTGTAAGTGTTGTGTGTCCCGCCACTGCAAGTGTTGAGTGTGTCCCGCCACTTGTAAATTGTGTTCTTCGCCACTTGTAAGTGTTTGTGTGCCCCGCCACTTGTAAGTGGTTGTGTGTGCTCTGCCATTTGTAGTTTGTGTGCCCCGCCACTTGTAAGTGTTTGTGTGTGCCTCGCCACTTGTAAGTGTTTGTGCGCTCCCCGCCACTTGTAAGTGTTTTGTGTGCCCCCCACTTGTAATGCTGTGTGTGCTCTGCCATTTGTAAGTGTTGTTGGTGCCCCGCCACTTTGTACGTGTTGTGGGGGGGGGGGGGGGGGGGGTGGGGTGAGCCCCGCCACCTTGTAATGTTGTGTGCCCCGCCACTTGTAAGTGTTTGTTGGTGCTCTGCCATTGTATGTTGTGTGCCTCGCCACTTGTAAGTTTTGTTTGCCCCGGCCACTATGTAAGTGATTGTGTCCCCGAAACTTGTAAGTGTTGTGTGCCCTGCCACTTGTAGAGTTGTGTGCCCCGCCACTTTAAGTGTTGTGTGCCCCGACACTTGTAATGTGGTGTGACCCGCCACTTGTAAGTGTTGTGGTCTCTGCCATTTGAAGTGTTGTGTGCCCAGCCCTTTAAGTGTTGGTGTGCCCCCCACTTGTAAGTGTTTGTGTGCCCCGCTACTTGTATAGTGTTGTGTGGCCCCCGCCACTTGTAAGTGTTGTGCCCCGCCACTTGTAGTAGTTGTGGTGCACCGCCACTTTAACTGTTGTGTGCCTCGCCACTTTGTAAGTGTTGTGTGAGCCCCGCCACTTGTAAGTGTTGTGTGCCCCGTCACTTGTAAGTGTTGTGTGCCCCGCCACTGTAAGTGTTTATGTGCCCTGCCACTTGTAAGTGTTTGTGTGCCCCTCCATTGTAAGTGTTTGTGTGTCCCGTTACTTGTAAGAGTTGTGTATGCCACTCCACTTGTAAGTGTTGTGTGGCCCCGCCACTTGTTAAGTGTTGTGTGAACCCGTCACTTGTAAGTGTTTGTGTGCCAGCCCCACTTGTAAGTGGTTGTGGGGGTTGCCTGCCCCGCCAGTTGTAAGTGTTGCTTGTGTCCGCCACTTGTAGTGTTGTGTGTGCCCGCCACTTGTAAGTTGTGTGCCCCGCCAGTTGTAATGTTTGTGTGTCCACGCCACTTGTAAGTGTTGTGGTGTGCCCCGCCACTTGTAAGTGTTGTGTAGCCCTCGCCAGTTGTAGTGTGTGTGTGTGCCCGCCACTTAAGTGTTGTGTGCCCGCCGCTTGTAAGTGTTTTGTGTTGCCCCCGCCACTTGTAGGGAGTGTTGTGTGCCCATCCACTTGTAAGTGTTGTGTGCCCCGCCACTTGTAAGTGTTGTGTGCCGCGCCAGTTGTAAGTGTTGTGTGTCCGCCACTTGAAATGTTGTGTGTGGCCCCGCCACTTGTAAGTGTTTGTTTTGCCCCGCCACATTAAGTGTTGCTGTGCCCCGCCACTTGTAAGTGTTTTGTGTGTACCCCCCCGGCACTTGTAAGTGTTGTGGTGTGCCCCGCCACTTTAAGTGTTGTGTACCCCCGCCACTTGTAAGTGTTGTGTGCCCCCGACACGTTGTAAAGTGTTGTGTGCCCCGACACTTGTAAGTGTTGTGTGTGCCCCACCACTTGTAAGTGTTGTGTACCCCGCCACTTTTAAGTGTTGTGTGCCCCGCCACTTGTAATTGTTGTGTATCCCGCCACTTGTAAGTGTTGTGTGCCCACCACTTGTAAGTTGTTGGTGCCCCACCACTTGTAAGTGTTGTGTACCCCGCCACTTGTAAGTGTTGTGTGCCCCGCCACTTTTAAGTGTTGTGTGTGCCCCGGCACTTGTAAGTGTTGTGTGCCCCGCCACTTGTAAGTGTTGTGTTTGCCCCGCCACTTTGTAAGTGTTGTTATGCCTGCGCCACATGTAAGTGCTATTGCCCCAGCCCCTTTAAGTGTTGTGTGGGCCCCGCCACTTTTAAGTGTTGTGTGGCCCCGCTACTTGAAAGAGTTGTGTACCCCCGCCACTTGTAGACTGTTGTGTGCCCATCACTATAGTGATGTGGTTGCCCCACCACTTGTAAGTGTTTGTGTACCCCGCCACTTGTATGTGTTGTGTGTCCCCACTTGTAAGTGTTGTGTGTGCCCCCCCGCCACTTGTAAGTGTTTGTGTGCCTCCGCCACTTGTAAGTGGTTTTGTTCCCCGTCACCTTGTAAGAGTTGTGGCCCCGCCACTTGTAAGTGTTCTGTGCCCCGCCACTTGTAAGATGTTGTGTGCCCGCCACTTGTAAATGTTTGTGTGCCCCGCCACTTGTAAGTGTTGGTGTGTCCTCCGCCACTTGTAAGGTTGTGTGCCCCGCCACTTGTAA